TAATGCGAAGAATGGTTTTGGTACTTTTGGCAACAGCAGTATATTTCCCTTTTTTAATACAACTTTTTCAAAGCATCCCATCTCTCCTCAGAGGAACATTTAAGGAATGTTTTTAAGTTTTGTGTGCGCTAGCGCTTCATGAAAAATATGCCTTCGTGCAAGTCTGTGTGATTTACACACCAATAAATCACACAAAACTTAAAAACATCCCATATTTTTAAATTTTTCAACTTAAAAAGAACCAATGATATACTCAATATTTAAATTTCTTGCTGCCCTATATCGTTACATTTATATTAACGTCTCTGTAGCCCCATTGTGACGTCACTTTAGCGCAAGTTTCATCGTGTATATTTCTACGCGTGAGTATACACAAAAATGACTTTCAAATCAATTTCACACTTGGCTTAGTAGAAAAATACAGCAAATGTAAATATTTTTAAAACATCAAAGTTAAAATTAGAGGAAGGCGTGATGTTATCTTTTCAGGACTATTGAAGACAATCACTGTTCATTCAAGATAATGAGAAAAGGCTTCTATTTCGGAATTGTGTTCATTTTTGTTCTCGTCTTACAGGTGCTGCAGGTAATAATTCCGAAAATAACCTTTAAAAAGAATTAAACTAAATATTCTATTGTTTTGAACTTCTTTTATTTATTTATTTATTTATTTATTTATTTATTTATTTATTTATTTATTTATTCATTTATTTATTTATTTATTTATTTATTTATTTATTTATTTATTTATTTATTTATTTATTTATTTAGTGTATGAAAGAAATGTTTTGGCAACTAGTTTTTAGTTGTATTGAAGATACAGATAGACGCTTGGTAAATGTTTAGTAATTAAAAAAAGAAAGAAGGGTTAGTCCTACAGGCATAGAAGTAAAAAAAAAATCGTGATTCCAACCTAAAAGTATTGGGGGATTTTATTCACAGACAAAGCAGAGAGAATCAACAAATCCTTTTAATTTTGTATTATATAAATGATTAAAAAATCAATCACAGTTCGCAGTTATGTTTTCCATGATTGCTGTTTCAAGAAAAATAGAACGGATTTTAATCGTGTTATTTAGTCAGTTATTTTTTTATTTATTTATTTATTTTTTTTTTTTGAATTAAAATCTATAAAACAATAGATAAAGTTACATACACACTAAAGCATTTCTAATACTTTTCATTTCATGAAACTTTGATTTCCTCTTCAATCTTTTCAAAGTAAATGTACATTTTAAATTGATCTTTTACTCTAAACTAAGTTATTGTGTCGAATGCAAATGATGGTACATGTTTGGGTTCTCTTATTTAGTGTCTGTCATTTATTGGAAGAAAATCCCCTTAGCAAGTCCAGACTTACATACCTTTATCTTGGCATATTTAAAAGAAAAGTTTATAAGAAAAAACATGCAATATATGCATGCGCTCATGGTTCTCCTCTTCTGACCACAAAGGCCGTGTTATAGCACTGATGCCTGCACGGATGTTTTTGAATAACAGTGTAAATTGGTCACTCATTGTACCCATCAATGTAGGAAAATGTTTCATTCAATGAAATACCTTGTCAAATTGTAATATTTATAAGCCCACTCATCTTAATAGTTATGATGCCATAGTCACATTTCGCATTAATTATAAACATCTATAAGACAATACGATATAGTTAAATGCAATTATATTAAAGTTTCAGAAAGTTGGAAGAATTACTTTCACTTTCGGTGAAACAGAACCAAAATTATCAATTTTATTTAAATAAACTAGTAAATAAAATTAAACTGACATCGAATAAACCCCTCATGCTCGGATCAAACAAAAAACTTTTCGATTCCTGAATGCCTTAGACGGGTATTGCATATTATTATACACCCAACTGTCTGTCACTCAGTTTATGGAATCACGTGACGATGTGATCTGATGTTCCGGAACACCACACTGTGGTTTTCTGAATCTATATCAGCTCTCTCTGAAACGGATGACGTAGTACACAGATAAATGACGTTTTTATTCTCGCGCATCAAAAAGTTCCTTGACAAAATGGTTTGTTTAATGGATAAAAGTTATGTAATTGATCCAAAAACTTCCTTTTATTATATTTTGCTAGTTGTAAAGGGATTTATAATAAATTTATCATTATAACAGTAACTTGATCCGAAGAGCCGTATCACGTCTCGTTGACAGCTTCGTGTCTCGTTTGATCTGATGATCCGAGCCTGTCAACTTGACGTTATACAGCTCTGCGGATCAAGTTATTGTTATAATAATATATATTTTTGATATACCCAACTGTTTGTTATTCAGTTTTACTGTTGAATTTAAGCAATCACATGACGGTGTGATCCGACATTTCGGATCACCGCTCTGTGGTTTTCTGAATACATATCACCCCTCTCTGAAACTGATGACGTAGTACACAGTTACATGATGTTTTTATTCTCGCACATCAAACAGTTCCTGGTTTGTTTAACGTATAAGAGTTATGTAATTAATCCAAAGAGTTTCATTTTATTACATTTTGCTACTTGTAAAGGGGTATATAATAAATTTATCATTATAACAATAACTTGTATCTGGGTCAAGTTACTGTTATAATATATTAGGATTAAACGTTCTTTTTGAAAACTTTATCGATGTGTAAACTCTTAACATTTTACTCACAAACTTAATAAAAGAAGCACTTTTATGTAAAGTTTGTGACTTAAATGTAAATTTACAAAAAGATTTTCAAAAAGAAAGTTTAATTTTTGTAATTCCAATTACGAAGTTTTAAAATTATTTCTTTTAAAGCCTCCATACAATCCGTTATTTCTATATACAGTGTAGGAATACTTTACGTCGCGATGTGGAAATAAAACATAATCGAGATGAACATCGAATAAAGTTTAACTTAGATTCTCAAAACATTCAATAAAACAATCTTATAAAAGCTCTTCGAATATTATTTAAATCAACGAATATCGTAAATACAAGAAGACTTCAGAAGAATTCGTCCTTGACCATGTTGGCATTAACGGCAAACGCTCTTAAAACGCTGAAAAATTTATCGATGTATAAACTCTCTCTTGAATTTGTTCTCGTCCAATCCAAACACAGGAAATAAATAAATAAAATTAAGATTCGAATAATTATTATATATCTACTGAGGTAACATTGCTACAAAGTGTGGATTTTAAAGTGACAATGAAGCATCGCATTTACACAATTGGATTTTTTAGGGAAAACAGTTCATTTTTATGGCCTCTTGGTCCTCTTTCCATTTTTCACAAACGTTTGCTCGTTGCTTTGGAATAACATGCGCTCAAATAACGTTTAAATATCGTTGAGAGATAACCCAGAGAAGGCAAATTCTTAGAAAAGCTTGTTTAAAAATTGTACATTTTTTACCAAATGACTCATCTAGCCATATTTCAAGTATATTTTTGGGAAATCAAAACAAATAGGGAAAATATTTCCTTTCTTATTTCAGAGGAACCCGAACTATGAAAAGAATGCTAAAATTTCATGTGAACGAAATTTTCAATTTTCAAGCTGCCCAGATTCCTGCCGAATGCCAATCAAAAGCCCCCTCGTTTAAAATCATTAAATCAACAAAACCATAAATTAGGTGGATTGTTACAAGGTTGCCTTGGGCGTACAAACCGTGTCCTCGTCAAGCCGTGTAACAACCAATTAGTGCCGCTTGCGCATCTTGGATACATGACTTACTCGGTTTTATGGCATGCAACAGAAATACGTCTCAAGTAAACCCGACTCAGCTAACGTTTAAAGCAGACTTACGTGATCCGCGGATCAGGGTCTGAGCTGTACTGATACGCAACTGAATATGAATAGAAAAAAAAGGTGGTGAAAAAGAATATAATGACTTTGTCTTTGATAATCTATTGAATTCTTCATATACATGTCCAGAACGAATTCAATGTCGAATTCAACAATATTTTGTCAATATCGTATCGATATCCTTATTAGTAATATGAAATTGAACTTACTTGATACGATATATAAGACTGAGTGCTAGGTTGATATCGTCGGTATCGACAATATCATGATGATATCGTATCGATATCGATCCTTATCAGTAAAATTAAGTTTCAAATTAATGTATCACATAATTATATAAGATCACAAAACATGTCGATATTGATTTATTATTGACATGCATAAATAGAGGGTTAAGACATGTTATTCTCAAGGGTAAAGGTTAGGTTTTAGGTAAGGGTTTGTGTAAAGGCTAATAAAACATGTTTTGAAGAATCATGATTGGATATCCGTACTATCAACGATATCGACAGCAGGGCAAACTTAGTAATCGAAAAGTACATACACACAAATATTGCATAAAGAAATACAACGACAAGAGTGAAGACAAAAATGATTCGATATCGATACGAAATCCTCGATATCGACGAAAAACACAACCCTCGTTAATGTAAACAAAGACACACATACACAGCTGTAGGGAGGGTATCAACCAAGGGTTGAGCAGATTTTATTTGATATCGAAGCAATAGCGTCGATATCGACGATATCGACCCTATAAGGAAAACTTCATAAAGTTAAAATATTTAAATAACTCATATGTAAAAAAGAACACAGTATTACTTGGGGTAACCGTTATCCATTGAACAATCATGATTCGGTATCGAGACGGTATCTTTAATATTGACAGAAAATGAAAATTATTTAGACAGAAAGTATTCTTATATATATATATATATATAATATATATATATATATAGAGAGAGAGAGAGAGAGAGAGAGAGATATTAGTTAATATAAATATGAAAATAGGTAAAACATTTTAGGTAAAGGAGTTACACGTAAATGCAAAATAATAAACCTAAATTGCATTCAAAATTAAGATGAAATATTAATGATAAAATTTTCTCTTTTTTTAGATTGTTCGTACGGAGGGTCGTTCCTGTGGAATTTCTTTGTCTACCCTGCGACATTTATCTTCTTGTCCTTTAACTAAAAGGGCATTAGATAACGCAGCAAGAAAACTGGGATGTGAATCGTTATCAAAGAAACAAAATTGTACAACGCCATCAAATTTCAAATACCACTGTGTAATGAATGTCTTTGAAAATGAAACAATAGAGGTTTGCGCGCCAGCTCTGTATATAATGGGTGAGATTTAAAGTCAGTTGACCAAATATTAGGAAGGCTAATGCCAGACGTATAAACATGCACATGATGACCCCCCCCCCCCATCCGGATTAAATACCTTTCATTGGGGGAAACATGGAAATAAAGTGTCAGCGCACTAGTAATTGATATCTTAGATATATATGATATGCTTTTGAATAAAATATTACGGTCTTGAAAGTTTTTAAAATGATTTGAATATTAGTGTGACCGTTTCCTTTCATGCAAACGCGTCGAAATGTAAAACGACGCTTGTATAGTAAGCACGTGCATTTTTATCTTATGATAATGTGAAAAATAAGAGAATTATATCCTTAAATCACCATAATGTTTTAAAATATCGTGTAGAAAAGCATGATTTTAAAAAAAGTATGTAATTTAAAACTGATGGAAAAAGTATATCAATGTATATAATGCAAAAAAGAAAGTACAAATTTACATATATGTACATTTCCTTACAAGCTATAATAAAAAAGAAACTTTCAATCAATTTTGAAAAAAAAAATTTCTAGATCTGTTTTACTTCCTTTCTGCTGGCCTCTTTTTCTTGTTATAGTGTAGTTTTGTCCCCCACTGAACCCTTTTTACGTAGCTGCATTCATATCATTGTGAACATAATAGCCTTCCCATGAAAGCATTGCTATTTTGTATTTCTGTCATCTGTCACATCTCCATATTTTAAAATGTTTCACACTTTTATGTATGGAATATGAAGATAAAGAACAGAGATCAAGCTCAAAAGTCAATTGAAACAATGCAAATTGGGAGCAGAGGAAATACGGACCTCGAAACGATCAAAGGTGGGATCAGGTGCCATGGAGGAGTAAGCATCCCCTGTTGAATAGTCACACCTGCCATGTGTTCTTTGTCATAATCGGGCATACGGGAAAAAATCCGTAGACAATTCGGTATGAAAGCTAACAATTTGAAACTTTTCTTATGCGTAACAATGAAATAGAAATAACCCATTCCTTTTTTTTTTTTTAATTTATTATGAGATTAAATTTTAAAACATTCTATAATATATCATTAAAAAATACTTTGATAAATCTGAAGTTTTGATTGTCTGCTTTACTTTGGGAGGGGATGGGAGTGGTACAACATAAGAATACAACAACGTTGTTTTATTGAACATGGCCTAAAAGGCGTATTGGAATACGTATTCACAGAAAATGTTGTTCTTAAAACGATGTTGACTGAAAACCATTCCAAGTTAATAAATCATATTTAATAATATTTTTGCTTTGAAACCCTTAATGTAAACATTGATATATTCTCCTGCAAACCCAGTACGGAAACCTGCATACGTCTCGCGAAACATTTCCTTAATCAGTCATGTATGTTATATGGTCACCGATTATGATGCAGGTGACTTGACTTATTTTACCTTTTCTTGGTCATTCACATATTGCCTTACAATAATTAGTTGTGCACATGGATTACTCTGTGGTATTAAAAGTCGTTATTGAGCTTTTTTCTATGCTTCTCATATCGCCTACGGATAAAACGGATTACCATATCTTCGAATGGAATAGTCATTCCGTTGACCCCCCCCCCCCCCGAACTATAAGTGTTTCGGACACTTCAATCTCTTCAGCGTTACAGAAGAAGTAAGTCCAAATCAAGAATACGGAGAATCAAATCTCGAAGCGCCACTTGTTTTGACTATGCTACCAGTCAGGTTTTTCAATCCATTGTAAAATTATGTACTAAGTAATTGTTTTTCGTGGGGCCTATTCAATCAGCTAATATTTGCTTTATGTATGAGGGGTTTCCACAAATGTGACACCTTATTCTGATGAAAAGAATCTTGTCTCACGCGTGAATCACCCTCTCAGATTGTATGTACAAATCAAAAAAAAAAAAATTCAATTCAATCCTCACTTCTTAGAAACCCCGTTTCTATCTCTCTCTCTCTCTCTCTCTCTCTCTCTCTCTCTCTCTCTCTCTCTCTCTCTCTCTCTCTCTCTGAACACCATTATTAAAATGAACATTTTTGCGTTCTAGTATATCTTAATTAAATTTATGCCTCCCCCCCCTTTAAAAGTATAATGCATTTGTGAAAATTGCATACAACTGGTTATAGCTATCAAACAAAGAATATATTCTCATTTTTAGGATATTGTGCTGAGTTTAATATCCAAGGGGGACGGATTCAACCTCATTATCAGATAAAATGCACAGAAATGGATCCTCCGTGTCCAAAACGGTATATTTCAACAGAGGCATTTAAATGTGAGTCATCACTTAGTGAAAAAATGAATTGCAATTATGTTTGTCAAGCATGTTTCCAAAAAAATACGAGGGTTGTTCCGTAGACACGTTGTTTTGCAGGAACCCGGTGTCATAATTTAACGAAACTTCGAACATAAATTAAACAAACATAACCAATTAACTTATATACAAACATTGAGTAATTATACAGATTAAACCCATTTAACTACAATTGTTCATTGTATGGCGTAAGAAGGGGGCGCATTAACCAAAAATTGCAATTGAAAGTTGATATATTATATTTGATATCCTACGGAAAAGTATTTACTACTCCGTATTTTGGGAAAAGAAATGAAAAATTCTTAATATTGTAATGTTAACTATCCTTCCTCAAATTTTGGTGTATATACTTTAACAAATATGAATTTCATAACGTTTATATACAGCGGTTTATAATTAAAATTCGACTTTTTTCATTTACTGGAATGTGATCAAGTGTTTCCTGAAATCACTCCAACAGACATGTATAAGTCATAAATATTTGGTATAAAAGGAATATTTTCTGGTCCTTAGTATATAATAAAATGACTGAAATGGTTTCTCTAAGTATTCTCGGAAACTAAAAAAAAATAATACAGGCTTAAGAATCGGGCAAGAGTGACAGATGAAAAACCCGTAGAAACTTTTTTTTAAACATCATTATTTCATACATGTATATACTTTGTTCATATATTTTAATGTTTTATCATATCATATTTATACCTATCATATGTTTGATTAATTAAAGAGTTTGATTCTGGTACATAGTATATTTTCTCCCAAAACCTGAACCGCTGACATTTGTCTTCTTTGACGTGACAGATTGCTCATGGTGTTAGAGACAATATAACTTCAAATCTTATTACTTGAATTGTTTCAAGTAAACATGATAAAATTTCGTAATTTATCTGTCAAGAACACTCTTTATCCACCAAGAAGATTTAATAAAGATAAATCAATTTCTTTAAAAGTCTACGGAATTTGTCAACAACCCTCGTATATATATATATATATATATATATATATATATATATATATATATATATATATATATATATATATATATATATATATATATATATATATATATATATATATATATATATATATATACATGCATATATTGCTTATTCTTCTGCATGCAAACAATATTAAACCTATATTGACGAAATTTGATCCATGAACGTGCAGATTTAGTTTTTTTTTTTTTTCATTTTATTCTAAAGTATAGAGTCAGTTTTATTCATGAGGGGTCAATCTTCGTTGGCAATGAAGTTTAACTGGGTCATGGAACTGATATATGGAAAAAAAAAATCGTTTGTGGGGATGTAATTTCGTGGGCAAGAGTGACCAACGAAATCCACGAACATTGATCCTCCAAGAAAAATGATGATTCTACGTGTACAGTACATCAAATACATAACTTACTAGGTATCCTGTGCAGCTATTTCTCTTTTCCCATGATTTAACAAATAGCATCAGCTTAATGACAAAACTGCTATAATTTTTCTACGATTGTATGCAGGAACTTAACCTTTCCTTGCAAGATTTTGAAGAAGTAAATGAATGTCGTAAATCGTAGACTACAGTTCAATATTCTTCTTTTGTCATATTTAATAAATTTTGACTATTGTCTTTGACTTTAAACACATCTTTTATTTTGTAACTTGATGTTCGAAAATATTAAACATTTGTTTGGATGAAAACCATTTGTAATTTCGAATGATAGTGTTAATCTTTTCCCTTTAGCACAACGTAAAGTAAAGAACGTCAACTAAAAAAAAATGCTATAGTTGCTTTGGTTGACTACAGTACATAAACATGTCATATATAGTATATTAGTACTCTCCTATGATACTCTGAAAGTTTACTGTGATACTTTGATTTACCGTTTACTCTATATAGAACAATTTTTATTCAGATTACCTGTATGAACTTTGTATCTTTGACAGTCCATACCAATAACGTAAATTATGGGGGGGGGGGGGGATGTGAATATACAAAAATATTTCGTTTTCGTATTAAAAACAAAACAAAACAAAAAAACTGTAAGAATTGGAGAAATTAAAATATACATGTGACAATTTGAAATTCATTGCAAGATTACTTTGATTAATAATAGTAAGTATTTTAAATCACTGTAGTAATATCTTCAATAATCATAGTTTTACTATAGTTAAATCTTTGATACTTTTATTTCCATAATACAAAAAAAAGATAATATAGTAATTTTTTTAACACGTATACATATATGTATTTATATAGGGTTGGAAGCTTTTTGCTAAATGTATATTTCTTTGATTAAGAATCCATCGTTTAATATGGCTAAAATTTAGTTTATTTTTCAAGAATGTAACTTTTAATCTTCAATGATAAATGCTATTCAATGTGAGCAATATAAATTACTGGCACTTAAATTACATTGAGACTAGACTTTTCAGAAGCCTAATTGCATAACATGATGCAGTAAAATATCGAAACTAAAGTCATTGCGGAAGAGTTCCCTTTCTTCTCATTTCTGTTTAAAACATACAAGTTAGTATTTACTTTATCATTATAATAGTGTTAGCCTGTTATATTTTTTTTAATACTGCATAAATCTTTGTCATTTTTTCTGAAAAAAAAAGAAATTGTAATTTTTCATATATTTCTTAACTAGTCAGTATTTTGATATATTTATAAAAGAAATTATGTTTTCATTTATACATAAAGAAGGCACGTATTACAAACTCTAATTCGGATACATGTATTTTACATTTTCACATACTATTCAAAAAGTTTCGTGTACAGTGTATGTACCGATTCGTTCTAAAAAAAATTGTTCGAAATTTCACAACAATGAAGTGAGACATTCTGCATTTATCTGTTTAAGATACCTCCTGCTTTAAAAAAGTAAAAGATACATCCGAATCATCGTCAAAAGAAAAAGGGAACGATTCAACGTGAGTACAATACTCTTATATTTGGTACATTCGCGGATTGGTGCCAAAATGAGTCATTAATTTCATTCCAATAACTATTTTTAATTCAATTTAATTGAAGCCAAAAATAAATAAGATTTTTAGAAAAAACCTAAATGATCGTTATAAGGTATTGCCTAATTAATTGTTCTTGTACACCAGACTAAAACCTCGTTACATCTATACATCTTAGTGCACTTTGTATATAAAGAGTTATGTGTTACTTTATTTCCACATCTAAAAAATCAAGTTCTTAAAATACAAATTCTCCTGAGATTCTGCAGTCTTCTGTTTTTCTTTCTATTCATAGAGATTTAGTTATTATCCTCACGGTTTCCGCCATTGCAGCTGTATTCCTGATTTTTCTTGTCGTCATCGTATTAGTTTGCAGAAGTACGTTTAATAAAATCATACATATATATATATATATATATATATATATATATATATATATATATATATATATATATATATATATATATATATATATATATATATATATATATATATATATATATCAACTACTGCTTTTTTCAATTAAAAAGAAAAGTCTTAATCAACAGAAAGAGAAGTTTTGAATTCAATTTTATAATTTTCAGGAGCTAAAAGACAATCAGCAGAAGAAAGTCATGAAACAAATAGATTGATTGACGTGTAAGTTAACTTTCTGACATTTGACTTTATCCCCTTTTTCTGAAATATTGCAATATAATGAAAAAATTATTATTATTTTCATTAACAAATAAACCAAATAAACCAAAAAAAATTGTTCTTAATTAAGACTGTCGAGTCATAACGTCCCTCAATCTATTGCAGACGAGATGACATCAAAGGTAATATTTCCATTATATAATCTTGATGTAATCATTATGCAATTTGATACATTGATACATTTCTTGCTTATTCATGTACAAAGTTCTCATTTTTACATTACATGGAGCAAAAAATACTGCCATGTTTTGATAAATAGATAATAGGGTTTGTTGACAAAAAAGACACACCCTCCTTTCTCAAACCTCTAAAATATGATCTACAGTAAAGATGACGGTGATCGTGTAAACATGTACAAAAATAATACTTTAGTTAACTATAGTTTTGTATAGCTACATGTAACTGTAGTTTTGTATTGTTAACTATAGTTTAGCCAGTAGAAGTAATTTGCAAAAACATGAGATTTCAAAAGGAATCACTAAAAATAAAATTTAAAAGAAACTGTAATGCATGCTTGCATGGAATAATTTTAAGTACAAGATACCAACAAATAACTTTTGTAAAATTAGAAAATCTGTAAAATTGAACAATGGAAAAATCTTTTGAAAAAACTTTATGTACAGTTGTGAAAAATCTTTATCTTGACTTAACATAGTGATCACTGACACTTTGATTTACTATAATGATAACCTAGAAAAACTATGATTGACGATAGTGATACCTTTGAAAACTTTGATTAACTATACTGATAACTATTACACTATAGTGATAACTATGACACCATAGTGATAACTTTGAAAACTTTGATAACAATAGTGATCACTCTGACACTACAGTGATAACTTTGAAATTTTGATTTACTATAGTTAAATATAGTAAACTATGGTTAACTAAAGTTTACTTTAGTATTTTTTAGGGCAATCCACATGCCAAAATTAGCTTCAATTTTAATAAATGGGATCAGAGATAAATTAACGGACACAACTTAAAAGGATGACATAATCTAAAAATTTATGATTAGTTAAATGTCAAATCTAAGGTTAACATCATCATACCAATCAATTAGTCTATCAAATTAAGTAATAATAAACAAATGAAATTTAACCCTCTTTGACATGTATTTCAGAAAATAGTGATCAGCCATCTATTTATAAAGTCATACAAAGGTAGGTATAATTGCTGTTCCGTTTCAAAATCAATAACACATTTTCATTTTTTTTTTTTTTTTTTTTTTTTTTTTTTTTGGGACAAACCGTATACCGAGCTTGAAAGAATCATATGATAAATGTGCGGATTTGGTATAATTTTGTGAAAAACACGAGGTTTTCGAACAAAATCCTTTAAGAAACCTTTGGAAAGAAAGTGTAATTTTTTTTATGTTACATAACATCATTTTGAAATGACACTCAGTCGGCCCAATTTGTCAAATATGTGTTGTGTTGTCGAGCATACTTGTGTCTATTTGAAGAAAGAATCTCTTTGAATAATCATACATGAAAAAAAAATTTTTTTCAAATAAAACAGTAATTATGTGTAATGCAGCGAGTCATTCAAAGATTATTAGGGAATTACTTCTGGTTTAACATATTATAATCAAACCTTTGAGCGATTCTACCTTTCATTTTCAGCTCATCGGAGCCAAACGCTCAAGTGACCTTTTCTGATCGATTTGTCCGTTATCTGCCGTCGTCGTTGTTATCGTCTTTTGCATCGTAGTTACGTCGTCATAAACTTTTCACAATTTCATCTTTTCCAGATCGACCAAACATGCCAAAAAGCATCCTTGATTAAAGAACGTAAAAATAAAAGGCCAGGTCCTCCTTCGAAAGGGAATAATTCAGAAATAGTGAAAATTGGGTGGGGTCATTTTAAAATCTCAAGAACAAAATGGGCCAGACAACATAAAACTTTTGGGAAGCTTCCTGAAATACTGTCAATTCAAATTTATTCAAATCATACCTCAAGGGCTAAGGTAGGTCCACAATAGGGAATCAAAGTTGTTCAAGTGAATATATATGGGAAAAAGTATTTTAAATTCTTCTTCTTAAGATAAGAGGGCCATGATTAATAATACTAAGAAGCAAAAACGTAAATTGAAAGTTTCTTCCCCAAATCATGGCCCCAGGCGGTAGTGTGGAGTCACAATATGAAATAGAGTTAAACAATAGAATTTATACGTGGTGAAAATGTTAAGAATAGCAGGGGCATGATCAGTTTTATTAAATTGCAATCATTCAAACGTAGTGGAGATTCAAGTTGTTCCCCAGGGGTACGATGGGGCCACATATAGGGGATCAATATTAAAATCCTTTTAAGGAAGTGCACAATTAAGTTTACTATTTTCGGGATAGAGGTAAGATGGGGCAACAATAGGAGTTCATTAAAAAAAAAAACGAAATTGATAAGTATTTTACCTTTTAAACACTCTTTTACAAAATAGCAGGGCCAGACTAAATCGTATTTATATGGAAACATTCTTATATTGTGTGTATTCATTTTTTTTTTTCTTCAAATAATAGATTTCGGGATTGGAGTATGATAAAAATCAGGGAACAATATTAATCAAGTAAATGTTTATTTTTTCTGCAAAACAGGAAGACCATTCTAGTCATAATCATATTGAATCAAACAACGATCTGATAATTAAGTGCTGCTTTAATCATGTCATATGCATGACCTTGCTGGTGCTTGGGTGGGGTGCAATATTGGTTAAGAATGTTTCATCTTAATAGAGGTAAATTTATTTCATATTTTGTGATGAACAGAAGGGTAAAGGGTACTCAGGTGAACGTTGTGGTCCACGAAACTCCTGTTTAAAATTTTAAAGCAGTTGTGAACAAAAAATTTCCATACAAAAATTTATCGAATTTCTACTAGTAAAACAGGTTTGTATTTTTTATCAACAGAGGGAAGAAAAATGCCAAATTCCCAGCTATATTTTTTGCCAGGTGTAAAGATGAGGGTAAAACTTTAATTTTGTTTATTGTTGAACCATTTCTAACTTTTCTGCTATGCAGAGAGAGAGAGAGAGAGTGAGTGTTGTGCGATGTTCTTCAGAATATATGCCAAAACCAAAGTAGTAAAAACAAAAATTCACAGCAAAACGGACATATTAATAACCCCCCTCCCCGAAAATAATAAGTATATTGTTCTTGCTGTATTATAATAGATTATCACATTGCACGAATAATCTGAAGCATATCAACAAGATGCTTACATCTCTGACTGAAAACCTCTATAACGTTTTAGTAGACGTCGTCTTTCATTAATCTGTTAGCATTCCACTGGACACCAATTGGCATTCTTTATAAGTCAACCTATTTTTTTTCTAATTGATGATGATGCATTTATTCTAAAACTTAAAAAAAGAATGAAAAAATGTGTCTTTTACTAAAGCTTATATTCAGTGAAACATTGAAAAAGTTTCATCAATCAACAGTATTCACTTTCCATCATACGTTTATCTAGTTATATCTCACTGAACTTGAAATAAGACATTGCAGAGTATGATAAGTCTATAAAAAGCACAAAGAAATTTGCTTTTACACGGATACCCACTTCCGCCCAATTAAAGCCGGGGTTGAACTCTCGATCTATGGCATCTGTCTCCTAGCAGTAGAGGAACAGCGCGCTAGACCGCGGCTATTCAAATAACTTGCTTTCGATGACGATTGAATTCTCGCAGCGCTGTCCTACTCTACAAGGACATTGAGAATGGAAGTGAGTACAGTTATTTGGACATTAATTTTATTAAAGGATCATTACCAATACACATTGTGATGAATTCATGGCTATTTATAGAGCACATTTTACAGCAACTGTTAAAATAGCATAACTACCCAAAATGAAGAAGTATTAATATACAAATCATAAAGAAATTCACTTAACTGTATCTCACTTCCATTCTCAATGACAGCAACTCTTAAACTAATATATCTGCCCTAAATAAAAAAATATTAATAGAGGGAGCACAAAGAAATTCACTTTGATAAGGATTCCCACTTCCGCCCCGACCTAGGGTTGAACTCTCGACCTACGGAATCTGTCTCCTACCAGTAGAGATACAGCACACTAGACCACTCGGCCATCTAGGCAAGTTAAAAAAAACAACTTTCGTTCGATGTCGATGGAATTCTTGCAGCGCTGTCATACACAACACGTTCATTGAGAATGGACGTGAGATACAGTTATTTGGACATTATTTATATTAGAGGATCTTTACCGATACACATTGTGATAAATTAATTTTTATTTATAAA